ACCATAACTAAAATAACTTAAATAAACATGATTTGATAAGATTAAAATCATAATCAATGGTGCTTTTCCAGAGATAATTTTATTATCATTCATATCCTGAGTTGTAAAAAGGCAATTTGCAGGTGCAAAATCTCACACTCAATTGCACTGATGTCAATAAGAGTAATTATTTCTTGGATTAGATACAGGCCACTCTGATGACAAAGACAGTGCTGCAACTTACAGCATGACTCAGGGATTTCACCCTGTGAAACAGAAGTTGCACTTTAATGGTGATGTTGTTTTACATTTAAGTTCTAGAAAACTAAGTCTGGACCAATTCTAAAAGTAACACATTTTTTGCTCTATCTACACCTGCTGATGCTGCCAACTCCTTTGGATCAGCAGGAGCCTTATGTAAGTGAAGTAACTTGAGGAAATTGAGTTAGTTTAAAAAAAAACTGGCTGGGAGGTGGGGAGATCTGTTCCTGTTGATACTTTTCAACTCTCAGCAGGAATATTAATGCTTACATAAGAACCAGCAAGATGTAATCAAAGAGAAGCGTGAAGGATAAAGTCAGCCCCTTTCACAGCACTCTGAACTTCAGCTGGCTGCAGCTAAAGCTAACTTCTTAAGATCTGTTCTTACACAACATTATCACTCATTTACAATCTGCAATTTAAGGACACTTTCTTTGCATGAGTCATTCTGCAGACAGCAGAATTCAGAGTTTTAGACAGAAATAAGGATTTTGCCTGGAATAACAAAATTTGATACCCTTCAAACATTTTAGTTGTGAATGTACTTGTACTTAGAAATTGTTCTTTCCTTGAAGAATGCAGAATCTTTTATAGGAGCTCTAGAAATCAAGGAGAGCGTGCAGGAGGTAATTTAGAAGTACAATAAGAACATCTGGAGGCAAGGTTTAATAATCAAACAGATCCATTTGCTCTTACTCTCTCCATAACAACTGCATATCTAGGACTAGGTAAAGCAGATTAACTGAAGTGTAGGTCCTCAAAGGTACCTGTCCTCTTCTGCTTCATTACACATCACACTCATGGCTATCAAATAAATAACCATAAACCTCTGAAGACAACCTAATTTTTCAAAGGCAGCACATAACAGGAGGTATTTCTAGTCCTCAAAAACTTTAGAGGAAGATAAATTCCATGCACAAAGTTTTCTCAAATGCTCTTCCATAAACCAGTGCAAAGCAGAGCAATTTTTCAAAATAGGGAAACTTTTTGCTCCAACCTGGATGAATTCTTTTTTCTTCTATGAAGTCATTCTGTGAGTAGCAAAACTAATGAAACCTGTTTCCCTGCACTGTTGCATCTCAAGATTATTGACTTTGACATCTAACTACATAGAAGCTGTGACAGCAGTTTTCACTGCAGTTGGGCCATTCATAATGTTTGTGTCCCTGAATTCCCTGGAGTCTTGTAACATAACTGATTTAGGCAGCCCTTCCCTCCCCCTTCTGCCCAAACTCTACCATCATGAAAAGTGCAACTGACCAACAAATTCAAAGGCACAGAGGAGGGGAAGAAATAATGGCAGATGTAGCATTAAAATCATCACTTCTTTAATAAATCAACCTTGCAAATCAAAACCATACTCTGTCCTTTAATGCTTGTGGGTTAGTTCATGTCTTGGGAACTGTGCTGCTTGAAGCTCTCTGATATAAAAACAGAACCTCCTCACCCACTGGCTTTCCCATCTTTCACCTGGCAAAATTCATTTTCCCTCTGTTTTTATAACTAAATTTCTCTTTTTTATTTTGGTTTAAAAGAAGTTTTGCATTATTTTGCAGTAGAGATGAAGGGATGGAAGGAAAAAAAGGCTGAAAGATGAAAGTCAGAAATTCAAAGCTGCATTCAGATATCCAATCTGGACAGAGAGTAAAATAATTTATTACCAGGCAGACACAAGGCCTAAATCTTTCTGAATAGTGACTGACAAGATTGTGAATGCCCCGCAGTAAGAATAGCAACATCTGCATTTTTACATGATTTACCACAGGCTTCACAACAGCAAGAGTAAATTCAGAATTTGGTAAATAAGAGAAACAAAATGGTAAAATGGTGCTACACAGTCTCTTGGCCTATTTCCCCCACCCACCCACCCACCTTTCTTTCATCCAGGGCAGAGCAACATTTGCAAAGCAGTTTACTTACTCAATAGTTCTCCTACAGGGAAAAGGCAAGGTTACCATAGCATTGTCAATTAATTTTGACACCTGCTTACCAAGATTGATCAATTATTTTTGATGTCTCTTTGCTTGTTGGTGTTTCTGTTTAGAAGAGAAATAAAACAAAGCCAAAAATACTAACCTTCTCTCGCCAAAGAATTAATGGTCCCAAGACACCCTCAGGCAGAGCATTTCTCCTCTTACCACAATGTTCCTAATACTTGCTAATGCAAGCCACTCATTCCCAGAGAGCAAAAACAACCATACCTCACTTACATGAAAAAAAAAAAAAATCTTCTATTTTCAAGTGTTTTAAGCCTACCCTTGAAAATCTGGTTTTTTTTCAAATACTGTAGTGACAGGTTTTACACATGTCCAATTTAGGTCACTAAAAGTTCAATTTACATCTTGGCCAACAGGGACACAGGCAGGGACTTCAAACAGCTGCAACTTGGAAACCCCATAAATGTTTAGAGTAATACACGAGGTTCTATTAACATTTCTACAGATTGTATCTACAACCTCCGAACTGGCTGTTCATGCAGCTCTAACAGCCTAACACACTCTTCGGTCTTTGCCACAGAGATGGGGAAGGTCTTCAATCACCCAGCCATCAGGCAGAGTAATATTCTTTTTCCAACTCTTCAGGTGGAAACACACAGAGCTCACCATCCATCCCACACCCATCTGAATTTTCAGGATTCAAAATACAACCGTTCCGAGCTGCTGCTTGCAGCAGTGTAAGACACGTTTAACATATTTCACTCCATCCCCAACTCACAGGGCTTGAAAAAGCTTTAAATCTTAGAATGCTTATTTTTAGTGCAGAGTATACTTTGCTTCCAAGAATAAAGATTAAAGATGAGCTGTCAAAGACACTGCTATGAAAAGTGTCCTCAGTAAAAAATAGCTCTCCAACAGCTTACTCCCGTGAGAAAAATCATAATGCAAGCGTCACTGTCACTCCTAAAGCTGAGCATGAAAAAACAGAGAGGAGTTAATGAGAAATCTCTTCCGATTTCACCGAAACCCCTAACAGCACTTCAGTTAAACACTGTGTTAGCTCAGCTCAGAAGAGAAGCCCTTCCAACATTCAGACAGAACTTCCTCTAGGTGGGGATGGATTATTAACTTTCTACCAGAAGGGAAACTGTAACCACTGTGCTTCCTCACTTGACAAACACAACCAAGGAAAAGAAACCTAGATGTTTTAAAAGATGAGCCCTCTAAGGATGGCATAGCGGCCCAGTAACGACTCAGAGAATATACTCACTCACAACAAGCTTGGAAATTGAAGAAATTACCATTTGCTTTGGTCCTGGCACTGTTAGGGACTGTTATGAGTATCACCAAGACAAAGGATACAAGTGATCTCTTTATAGCCAGGAAAGAGGAGTTCTGCAGATCCACATACACAAAAAAAGATTCACCTGGGCCTCCTCTCATCACTCTCCGAAATTAGCCCATTGTTCCACAGCAGGACAAGCCCCAAACAACACGCAACTAATGGCCAACTTTAAAACTTTATTATCAAGGTCATAGAAAAAAAAAAAAAAAGCATTATATTTGCCTTGTATTAGTTTTATAGCTAGGTTATAATCTTACTGCTGCAACATCCACCAAATATCAGTAAATTGGCTCTTTCTCTGCATTGTGTACATCAGTTCAGCCAATATGTCTGACTTCAACTATTCCTTAACTTTCCAGGCTAACAAGTTACCAGATCTACTTTTTGTTTATTTAGGAATGAGTGACCTAGTATTAAATGTTTAAAAGATATGTAAATTGTACAGCTTAATTTCAGTACTCCAAAGAGAAAAACTGAATTTAAACACTATTTTAAAACAGACAGTTATTGATATTTAATCTATTAAAGTAATTAAAAGTAGTTTCCCAAAGACAGAAAGAACTTGACTTCTCTGAGACATAGTGTCACCAATGTATTGCTAATAGCTAGGTAATAGAACACTTTCCAGCTATGTATGTCAACATACTTAATAAATGGAGTTCCTGCTTATAAGGGGTGTTTTACACGGAATGAAATGAGATGCCCTGTCCAAGATTATATAGCGAAATAACAGCAAACAGTATTCTTCACAGCCAGTCTTTACACTGATACCAAAGGGGGCGGGAGGAAAGTGACAGCCCTATAAATTAAGTCTTCTTTCCCACTCCATATAGAAAAGCAAGTGTCAGTTCCTTCTCACTGATCAATGCCTCGGTATCACAGTGACTTTTAAGAATGAGAAGGTAGTTAGACCTAGACTGAGTACTGCGTCCTTTGCAAAAATATGTTACTGTTTCATGTTTGCCACTGTCTCCTGCAAACCTTGTCACCAGGGATGTACATTTCACTCAGTTGCACTTGTGTTGTCCTGAATGAAACTGACTAATGCCCACTTAGCTCAAACAACTGAAAGAAAGGAAGACTGGAAGGAGCTAAACCCTTCACTTTTCAAAAGGAAAAAGTAATTAAGATCCACTACTAATTCTTGCTCCCTGGGCAGCTCCATGAAGTGCACATGTCATTTCCATGACATTTCCAGAAGGGACAGCAGCGACACAGCTTTAGGCCGATTTCTCCGGTCTCTCGGTTCTCATGAAGTGGAGCAGCCTATTTTCAGCAATAAGTCAGCCGGAGCTGTGCCCTGTGCTCTTAAGAGCTGGAGGAGCCTATTTTATCCATAACTTCTGCCACATACTTCCTCCACACATGAACAATGTCATAGCAGACACAAGCAAAACAAAACAAACAAAAAAGGCAAGTGAAAGTGACAGGAAAAGGATGTAGAGATGAGAAGAAAATCACAATAAGCAGAAGCTTACTTGAACCTGCCCTGGCAGTGTTGGCACTGGTCTCCCACCCAGCCCTGGTCGCAGACGCAGGTGGAGTTGACACAATGACCCGAGAAGCAGGAAATTTTGTCGCAGGACTTGGACTGGGACACCTGGGCGTAGAGGGCCAGGTAGAGGAAGCCGTAGAAGAGCAGCCAGCTGTTCACATCCAGGAGCGAGGCGAAGCAGCAGCAGCAGGCGGAGGGGAAAGGTCTCCAAGGGCCGGGGCCCGCGGGGGCAGCTCCCGCTCTCCGGCCGGCGCTGCCCAGGTCCATCTTGGCCGCGGGGGCCGCGGGCCGAGGCGCGGCCGGCGATGGCAGCTTCCCCTGAGGGGAGTTAATCCAGCCAGGGAGATTCAAACCCCCCGCTTCCTCCTCGCCTTCCTCTCCTCCCTCCCGACCCCAGCGCTGCCTCCTCCGGCCCCTTCAGCCCTCCGCGCCCCGTCACTCCCGAGGGGAAGCCCGGCAGCGGCAGCCCTTAGCCATCCGCCCCTTCTCCTCGTCGTCCTCCTCAGGGCTCATCGCTCCCGTCTTCTTCCATGGAGGAGGAGCGCTGCCTCTTGACCTTGTGTTTTCTCCTCGCCAGATATGCCCCCACGGCCGCGCACACGCCACCCTGGACCATGTATCCCGCGGCTCCCCCTTCTCCTTTGTATCCCGGTGCCCGCGGCACACACGCAGCGGCGGCGAGGAGGAGCGCGGGAGGCGGGGGCCGCCGTCCTCTCGCCAGGCAGCCAGCTGGGAAGTGAGGGCGGCCGGGCCCGGAGCCGCTACGGCATCGCGCTCCGGCGGGGCGGGGAAAGGCTGGAGAGCTCTTATCCCCGCTCCGTTATTAGCCCTGCGGGGAAGGGAGGCGGGAGGCAGCGAGAGGAGGGTTAGCAGCACCTCCGCGTCCCAGCTGACAGCTTCCAAGCAGCCATTTTTAAAGGCTAATTGTCACCGCCGCTCGGAGCCGCCTCCCGCCCCTCGGCCCGCGTGGATCCGTCGCTCGCTGGGAGGGGGGGTCCGGCGGGGTGACCGCCCCTCCGAGGCTCCCGCGGCCGCCTCTGCCTCCCCCGCTTCCAGAACAGGAGTCAGAGGGAGCTGGAGCGGCACCCGGAATGCAGCCCCCGCCGGCCGGACCCCCGAGAGGAGCCCGCCCCGTCCCGTCCCGTGCTCCTTGGCGGGGAGCGGCCCCGCTCCCCCGGCAGGGCGGCCGAAGGCTCCGATGTTCCCCGCTCTGCTGCCTTGGTTCCTCTGCTCGCCTCAGGTCCTGCAAAGTTCAGAGCCGGTTTGCATTGAGCTCCTCCCGGCTGGTAGCAGGAGAGATGGTGCCGCTTGTTTTGGGAACCTCGCCTTCCCAAGGTTTGCTCTGTACAGAAAATCACGCTACGAAAAGCCAATGTCCATAAAGGAGACAGAGGAGTCCTGCAGCTTTATTCGAATAAAGGAAGAGAGGTTTTCTCTCTGGAGGTTTCGGAGGAGGCAGCCTCCTTTCATCCCAAACTCCCGGCCGCATGTGGCCCTTTTGCTTTCCCCATCGGCTGAGGTACCAGGAAGGTACAGCCTTCCCAAACCGCCTAACCCACATCACCCCTTGAACCTGTTATTCTACCCCAAAGTTCAGAAACTCAGGCTTGTACAGACACTTGTCTGCTCCAGGAGCCAAACAGGCTGGGCTCTGCAACAAACCTGCTGCCCAAAGTTAGATGCATTAAGCCCCATTCCAAAGACATTAACACCCATACCTTCATCCATCTAATTGTTTGTAAAGACATTAGTACACACCTTCCCTCTCAACTCCATCCTCCAAATTTAAAGTCCAAATCAAGACGTTGCCTCCTGCTTACAGCTTGATGAGCAGTCACAAAGTTGCTGCCTTTGTAACGGAGCAATACAAAAGTAATCCTTGTGTTAAAGTTCCCTAAAATGTCCTTTTTTTAAGTGTTCCTTCTACAGCCTTTTTCAACTCTGCTGTAACCTGTTCTCATTTTACCATCAGTCAAACCCTCAGAAACTTTTCTAACACAGAAATTGGGAATTTATGATGTGATGTCTTTGTTCCAAGCTTACCATCAGTCAAACCCTCAGAAACTTTTCTAACACAGAAATTGGGAATGAAGATGAAGACAGCGTATTTAATTTCATTCATTTAGACTCTCTCTAAATAGGTACAAAATGACCCCATTAGTCTGGAATCATATCCAAATCGACCCCTCCCCAGATTTTTACCCTTGAAGCCCATAGGAATTTGTTTGAGTTTTGGTTTAATCTGTTTTCCCAAGCACACCATTAAACCTTCATCTGACTTTCCAAAGTCCATCCATACTCCTGTAAGGGACACAGTTACATCCAGCAGTATCCATTTGAGCTTTGTGTGGGAAAAAAAAAAAAAAAAAAAAAAAAAAAAAAACAGTCCAACCAAGATCAAGATGTCAAAGTCAAACAAAAAGTACAAACATCACAGAGAAAGAGTCTGTGCCTTAAGGAGTCTACAGTCTTGATGGAGGGAATATCTCCATCAAGTATGTGGGGAAAACAGAGATGAAAAGTGATTTTCCTGGTTTAATTCCAGAGGATTTAAGGTGGTCCACAAGTTGCTCTCAGTCCAGGAGTGCATTGTCTTCCTACCAGAGCTGAGATAGATTATTTCATTGTCCTGTATCAAACACATTTCTTAGCTATTAGTCATCTCTTTGTATGTGTTTGGTAATGAATTGGTGAGTTCATGCAAAGAGAGGAAAGGGAGATTGTATTACTGCTTTATATTTTATGATAAAAAGCCGAGGCTGAAGCCTTTGTGAACAGTCTGCTAATTGTACAATATCACATGTGATTAAGGCTGCTGAACAACTGTCCTCTGTTCAATACTATTATGGGTCCAGAAATGCAGTTAAAAGGAGATCACAGTCCAAGACACAAAGTCAGTTCAAGAATACTCTTTAATACAGAAACACTTTAAGAAATAGTTTTGCTTACCATGACAAAGATACATTCCTTCTCTACTTTTTCAATTCCTTTAAACCAACCAAAAAAGTTCTAAAGCCATCTGAGCCATTTTTTTTCCTCAGGCTGAAGGAAGATTTTGTTTCAGATCTACAGAAATCAGCCAAGTTTTTGAAAATGTTTGAATTTAACATTCAGAACTTTTCAAATTACCATTCACAGCAAAGCTAAGATCTCAACTACTCTTTACCAGGCAAGAGATCTATTGAAAAGCATAAAACCAAAACCAAACAAAACAACCCAAACAGGCCAACAGAAAAGGACTAGGGTGGTTGTAAGAGGTGCAGAGTATAGCATGATAGTACTTTTACTGCATAAACAATCATAAATAAAAATCTAAACACAACTAGAAGGGTTTCTAGATTTAGAGCATCAAGGAAGAAACATTGCACCACTGATTTCTGGCTAAGAACTAACACGCTATGAAAATGAAGGAAAGCAAACCTTTTGGCTGCTGTATGCCACAGCAATGCAGTAGAAATTTCATAACTCTAGGAAAGGAGTGATGTACAAATGCCAATATTGGTTCTCTTCTGTGCTGATTTGATGGGATTTTTTTGGTGTCAGATGAAGTTAACAAATCTGGCTGAGAGAAGTCAGATCTGTCAATCCTTTCATCTTTACATGCATATCTGTAAGTTCCACTTTTCTTGCAAGTGTAACATTTTACACCTTTCATCCTTTCAGTTCTTGACACAGAAATCATTTACACTTTTAAAGAACTAATGTACTGAACCATCTTGGGTAGATTTAGAATTTAAAAGCATTTGAGTAAGTTATCAGAAGTTGCAAGTTACTGAATAAAAATATAATGAGACTACAAGCTAGTGATGTAGAAGGTTATGTGAACAAAGCCTTCCAAAAATATATCCATTGTAGTAGGAAAGCAAAATAAATATAATAAATATAAAGTATTTTAATAAAGTATATTATATATTTATATTATGTAGTGTATATATTATAATAAAGTATATTATATATTATAACAAAGTATAAAGCTTCTAGGCTATTACTATCAAAACTTAAGCCCCTGTATATAAGGAGAAAAATGCTGATACATTTATATTCATTAGGTAAAACAGTATATTTAAAGTTCCCTGTGGTTGCTGTTGTGAGAAACTAGAATAGATAAAGCAAAACAGCCCCCAAACACAGACTTCTCCAGCTGCTCAGAATATCTGCAAAACTCTGAGGACAGGAATAAAGCAGAGACCATCCTCTCCTCCCTCCCCCATGACACAGAGGCACCCTCCCTGCCCTGCTGGCTCTCTCCTGCAGGCTGAGATCAATGAAGCCTTGCTGCAGAAATCCCCCTCACTTAAGGATGCTCGGTACTATTTACAGCATCCAGCCCGGTGGTTCTGCAGTTCTGTTGAGAACAATGTAAGTGGCTGAAGAGCAGAGGGAGAAAAAAGAATGCCATTGGGCTCGACCTCTTTGCAAGGATATTAAGAGAAACAAATGCTTCCTATGCCCTTTCCTTTCTCCTTGGGACAGATATTACTGGGCTCATTAAGTGGAAAGGGCCAAGCTCTGCTCTGCTTCTGGACAGGGATATATGGACCCACCCTGGCCTTCTGACACATTGGTGAAACAGGCGTGTGGGCAGGAGGAAATGGCTGCACAGAGTGATTTGACAGCTTCAAGAGCTGCTCTACCCAACACATCAGAGCAGTGCACAGGGTCCAGGGCTCCTGCTGAGCCTGACAGGGAACCTGAGCGCAGCCTTCCCCTTTGCTTTCCAAATACACACCCAACACTTCGTATAGAGGACAGCAAAAGGATTTTTTTTTTCATAAATCCCACACTAATTTTTCATTGAGAAAGACTGAGCCACCTGAGCCACTCCAAAAAAAAAAGGAAAAAAAAAATTCTGACATAATGGAAACCATCAGTCTCTTTCCTGAGGTAAAAGAAACTTGTCCCTACTTATTGGATTCCAGTGCTAACAGAATAATGCATGTTACAATTTTCTGTTCCTATTGTCTTATCTGGTAAGTCAGCTCTTGGGAGGTATCAATTTTATAAGATTAAAAGTATAAGCCTCCCCTCACCTACTCATTTTTTCAATATTTAGAAAGAAATATAAGCCTTCCTTTGCCTCTAGTTTTTTTTTTTTTTTTTTTTTTTTTTTTTTTTTTTTTTCTAAACTTAGAAATAAATAAAATTCACATAAAATTCACTGGCACACTTCTAAAGTGAAACCTTGATAGAAAAATCTTAGCTTTCTTAACACCCATGTGTGTATTTTGCTACAGTAGTCACATTTGTTACCATCATCTCCAAGAAGAAAACTGCCATAC